CACACACACACACACACACACACACACACACACACATACACACACACGCACCTCCCACGCACACGCGCACGGTCGTGCCCCGCATAGGCAAGTGAGGCCGCGGGGTGGACAAATCGGATTGACCGTGACGACCGTGTCAATAGCTGTGCGCGTCCCCTGCTAAAAGCACCTCTGGATTTCACCGGACTGACTGGACGCGGCGGCGGGGCGTGGCGGGACAGGACGCGACGGACAAATCCAAGAGGGTAGAAATGAGAAAAAAGGAGAGTACAAGAGTGGTCTTGTCTAAAGAAACAAGCCAGAGACAAATATGAAATAGTGTTAGCAGAGAAATGAAGTGACAACGTCACTATCGTTAGTTTGTAATGCATTTTTCTCTCGTTTTCGTTGGCGCTTGTTCGCTTTTGCAATCTAAACTAAAATTACCAAAAAGTAAGAGTGAGCTGGTGTGCGGTGTGCCTACGCCTACCCGCCAGGCACAAGCCGGGCGGGGCGAACGGTGGCCCCGGGCAGAGAGACGAGGACATTTTACGTCTTTACGGGAATTAGGTATAAGATTCTGCGAGAAGAGGAGAGGAGGGGTCGGGGTGGGGGACCTGTAGTGACCTGCTCCTGCCTCCCTCGCGCCTGCTCCCTCTCTCTCTCTCTCTCCCTCTCTCACACACACACTCACACTCTCAGAGGCCTACGTGAGGTGCCTAGATAGAGTGAAACAGAGTGAGACGGAGTGAGGAGGAACGGAGGAGGCCAATAAGAGTGACAAGGACGGCTAGCTCCGTTTTCTTCCTCGGGGGTGGAACCTGACAATCCAATTGTGGCGTGTCGCCTTTCTTTTCCAGGGACGGCGCGCCTCCCTGCAGTATTGGTTCCAGTCCTGGGAACAACGTCTTGCCTTCGCCTGCGCGCGTCTGCTGCCCGGAACCTTCCCAACAAGTCGTTCAGCCAGCTCTCTCGACTAGGGTAAGTAGCTGCGGCACGAGGCTCTAGAGGTAGTGAAGGAGCGGGTTGCCCCCCCCCCCCCCTTCCCTCCCAGCTCCGGCACGGCTCCGGCTCCGTATATCGTATAATGTGACACGAGATTCCATCATAAATGCCCCTATTGAATCGCCTGGGCCGACTTCAATTGCTACTTCTGTTGTTTTATCTGCGACCGGCCCCCGCAGCCCCCAGCAGCGGCGCCCCACCCCATCCTTGGCTCAGCGGCGTAGCAGGCGTATGTGGCGCATAAAAGCACAAATCTAGCGGCAAAAATGCCGACGTTTTTATTTTGAAAAATTTACTTTTTATGCTCGTATTGTGCATCATCACGTGGATGGTTTTTAACTTATTTCTCAGAAAACCTCGCGATGAGTATTTACTCCGACGACGCCCCCGCGCAGCTACGCCCGCTCCTCCTTGTGTTTGGGGATCTCCATTACTTTTATAGGGACGTGCTGGCCAGCAGAGCGGACACGGGGGAAGGGGGGCGGCAGGGGCGCTTGCGGCTTTCAAGGTTATCTCCGGCAGATTCACTGGGATATAGAAGCTGCCTGCCTGCTTCATTGAATATCTTTTTTATTGGTCCACTGCCGGCCGATCCGGTGGAGTCTGCAGGGGCCCAGCCGGCGGTCCCCGTCCCGCCAAGCCACGGCATGCAGGAATCGTCTTCCTGCGGACTGCTATCGTCGGGAATTGGGAGAGAAACGGCCCCATAGCGCCGCCTACCTGCCATATAGTCGTAGACCCCAAAGTAACCTCCTAACATGAAGAAAATATACACTATTCCTGAATTTTCTTACATCGGTCTCTTCTGCATCGAAAACAGCCCGTTCCCGGTGCAACCCATCAGTATGTACTTTTCACCAAGTACAAATGGGTTAATCTGTGAAAATGTTCAAGCGCATTTGTCGAGTCGATGAGAACACGTCTTTTCGAGTGTGTGGCTCTATGCTAACTTTATCTTATATTTATTCTTTGTTGTCACCTGATATGGCAAAACAAATCCCTTTCCAGAGTTCCTTTGCCGCTTTTGTGGAGTGGGATATAAGATACAGTAGGAGATCAGAGCGAAAAATATCCGGGGGAAAAAATGATGAAGACGGTGTCGTAGTGGGACTGATATGTTGTTGTGGAGAGGGGCCTAACTGCTTGCCGCCTCCTTTGGAGATGACAATGGCCCCCACTCCGCCGCGCCGCCCCTGAGCTGGACAGCGGTAATGATGGCCACTCGGTCGGGAAGACCACAATACCGCGAAAGACGAATGGACGCCTCTCGCGGTAAAGAAGTCTTCTCCTCCTCATTCTCCTTTTTTCGCTACGGCCCCTCTCTGGAGCTGACAGTCTCAGTTGCTATTCCTCGCTCTACACCGGCTGCAAACACTACTCTCTTACCCTATCCGCCCTCTTCTAAGCGTGTATGGATTGTTTGTTTTTTGAATTGTTTTGTTTTCTTATACCTGTGAGGTTGTAATGGAACGACTGACGTATCGCGTGATAAGTTACCCCAGCGTAACTATATTTAAATTTTTAACAGGACCTTCAGGATTTCCTTCAAAACATTTTATTGTTTGCTTAAGTCTGTTTTACACGTAAATTCTTTTCTTGTTTCCCTTCTGTTCCGTAATTGTCTCGCGACGCCCGCGGATGTTCAGGGAGCCAGCAGCCCCCATACAGAGGAAGCGCAGATCCTCTTTGATCAAAACTCTCTCACGGTGTGGGTCGCACCGTAGTTCGTTGTGGCTGGGAAAAGGGCATTGCAAGACGCGTAAAGAGACCCGAGGGATTCAGCCAATCTTCCTTTCACCGATCGATCGGATGACTTTGTCCGCCCCGTCATGGTTTTGAGCTCAAACCGTACCACCGTAATAAATACTTGTAAAGGTCACAAGACAATTTTCAACGATGTCATAATATTAAATAGTAAAAATACAACTTCAACGTATCGAGTTCATTCACAAGATTGAATGGGCTGTGGGCTGTCGCAAACTTAACATAATTTTATTGTACATCATAAATACAAATTATGTCTCAAAGAAACAAATACAGTGAAAGCAGGTGTATTTATGTTATGTCACTTGTTTGCTGTGGCCTTGCCGTGTGAGTACACGCCAGCTTTATGCTATTCCATTTCTTTCCTTTTTTTATCGTTTCTTTTCCCTCCGAGTGACCCCATCGCGGGAGACTAAAAATTCCCTTGGGAGCGCCCTCGCCGCCGCCCGACCGCGCCGGGCTGGAGCAGCGCGGCGGCGGCGGCGATGTCTTAGTTATGCGGGCGGGAGCTTTTGTGCTTCCTCCGCCCCGCTCCTCTCCGGTGGAGAGCGGGAGGAAGATCTATCATCACAGCGCGGGGCGCCACGCCGCGCCACGCCACACCTCGCGACAATGAGCCAGTCTGTCAAGGGGACTTCCCGGGACTTCCCCCGGTGCAGTGGGGGGTCCTGCCCGCGCCAAGGCCAATCGGATGTGGTCCATTTGTTGCCGATCAGGGTGTCGTGTCAGGGCAGCGGATTGAGAGATGGGGAGAGAGAGAGAGAGAGGGGGGGGGGGCATATTTGAATTTAAGTGTGTTTTTATCAGGCCAACATTAACTTCGGTGGGTCTTGTAAAATTTTTGAAGTGATTTAAGCGAGGTTTTGAGAAGTCGTTTCTTGACATCGAAAATCCTGCCAGCTCCTACAAAGATAGTAAAATGGAAATCCAGCGACTAAAGTCAAATAGAGTGATGGGGTAAAGACGAGTAAAAACGAAGAATGACTTTGCGGTCCATATGTGCCACACGGCACCAACTTGGACTTGGTCTTCTCTCCCTTTTCCTAATGGTGTATCTGAACAATTTCTTCCAGATGGATCACTTACCGGACGACGTGTTGGTATTGGTGATGTCGCATCTCGACATCACTGACCTCTTGAGTTGCCGCGTCGCCTGCAAGAGGTTCGCGCAGTTGGCTCTCCATCCGGATGCATGGCGGCGTAGATGTCTCAACGAATATTTTAACCCCGACGAGCTCATGGACCCTTCATACTGCCCGGTGCTGCGCCTGGCGCCCTGCCTGGACCTCATAGACATCACGCTCCCGTCCCCCAACACCTGCCACTCGCTCTTCACGGCCCCGTGCCCAGCGAGGAGGTTGCGCATCAGTCTCACCAAGAAAGGAGGTGCCGCGTACGCTGCCCTCCTCATCAGGCACCAGAGGGAGCTCGGCCGGCTGAGGGGGGTGGAACTGTACCTCGAGGCTTATATATCTAAAGCGGATACCGCCGTGCTGTTTGAGACGTTGGTATCAACGCCCGACCTGCAGTACATAAAAATTAGACCTGATGAAGACCTCGATTTTAGCCCCCGTTCTTTGCACCCGACTACCGCGGCGTCCCTGAAGTACTTCAGGTGCCCGTTGGGCCCGTCGCTGGAGCTTTTCTTTAACAGCATCCTCCAGCAGCACGCTGCCACATTAGAAGCGGTTTACGTAGTATGCCACGAATACGAGGTGCCCCCCTCGCCCTCGACGACGGCGCTGCTGCTGGCCCAGTTGCCCAACCTCGTGGAGCTACGTTGCCGAATCTTCCCTGGGATGGAGGCCGCTGCTACCTGCGCGTCTCTGAGGACTTTGCGCCTCGAAGTAGTTCCGAACAGCAGCGACGAGGCGGTGGCCGCGGCTACTGCCTTGCTGCGCCGCGCCCGCCAGGTGCTCACCGTGCACCTGGTCCACATGTATTGGGATTGGGACGAAGACTCCCCTGTTGGCTTGGAGTTGATGAGGGCCTTATCCGGTCGGTCGAGTTTGGAGGTGCTGCGCATCTGCCTGTTTTGGACCTTTTCAGTTGATCGACTCCCTCTTCAATATCTGCACGAACTACGACACATTCTCCCCTCACTTCCTGCCCTGCGCAAACTCGACTTGGAGGCCTTCAAAAGGGACGTAATCTTTGCCGAACTCGGTGAGTTTTTAGCGGGGAAGCCGTCACTCCATGTGGAGTCCGCCTCTTAGGATCTCTGTTTTCTTTTTGTTCCGTTGTATGTATGTTACACAATAAACATTTTTGTACATAGAATTTGATGAGTTTATTCATTTCTTATAGTCTATTGCCGTTCGTGATTGTGAACCGACATGACAGCGTTCTACACCATAAAATGGTTTTATTGGTCTGTAGATTTAACGTTGTAATTCTCTCTGGCAGAGTCATAAAACATAGCCAACACACTGTTAAAAGCTTACAGTGAATTTCATTGTAAGCTACGGTGAACCCCTGCAGCACCGTAGCCGGTGAATTTCACCGTAGGATACGGTAATTATGACCGTAAGCTACGGTGCTGCAGGGGTTCACCGTAGCTTACAGTGAAATTCACTGTAAGCTTTTAACAGTGCAAACGAGCACTCTTGTAAAACGTGCCACATAATCGACACTTTAGAGCTTTGTTCACAGTACAGAATCATGATAGTATCACTCAGCGACTTAGCATAACGATGTAACCATAAGGCTAGCGCCGGGCGGTACTCGCTCCACGTGAAGTTCGCCTCTCAGTCTCCTTGTCTATTTATAATCATTAGATGCATAAGTGTGGATTCAGAGTTCACGAAACGCAAGCGTTATTTTCACGCCAGGCGTGATTTTCACGCTTCGCAAGCTTCACGCAGCCAATCAGGGATCGACTTTCATCACGCCGGGCGTGAAAATCACGCTTTGCGTGAGAATCACGCCCGGTTTTAGGGAACTCTGAATCCACCTTAATAAATAATTTTATTATTATTATTATTATTATTATTATTATTATTATTATTATTATTATTATTATTATTATTATTATTATTATTATATATGTTACTCGGAAAGGAAAAAAAGGGTGGGGAAAATTCACGAGCCCACCCGAGCCAAAATAATTGTTCACTTTAAGGTTGCTTTTAGTTTGCTATCGGTGCGCGGAGGGTCGCGCAAGGGACGCCAATGGGTCGTCAGGGTTCGTCACTGCCCGCGTGGAGGACTGA